AACGAACCTTCCATAATATGGTATTTTTGCTTTAGTAGCATTTTGTTTCAATTGATCAAATGCACCATCAGCACATATTAGACATACTTTCCAACCTTTACGTTGATAATGATATATCAACTATTGCATATAGATGATGGTTAAATTTTTACGAAATTATTGCAAGAACAATAATAATAAATGATATTATTAGAATGAAAATTATATGTATCAAGAATTCGGAAATAATTTAGACATTAACGTACTTTTTGTATGACTCTCCTCTTATTAATTCCAGCGGCAAGATCTTGAATGTTAACTGTAGTCTTTACATTATTTCTCAAACTTCCGACCAGACGAACATTTACGTCAGTTTCCAAAAGTGCATGACAGATGTCTTTCAATACAGCATCAAGTATGGTAAAGAATTATTTATAATGATATAGATCGATCAATTTTATGCATCTATACGTATACGTATCAACCAATCAAATACTACGTAGAACATCATACGTACACTAAAAATTTCTTGCCAGTTTTTTAACCGATTTTCACGTGGCGTGCATGGTCATGTAAACAAAAAAAACCTGTAATTCTTCATCTAATGAGAATTACAAGTTTCTTTTTTCACAGCACTTATGTATTAAACTATAATTTCATTAAATTGTTTCCCTTTTTAGGGATCTCTAAGAATATTATCATAAAGGTTGATATGAATGCCCGGGGTATCGATTTAGTGTCTGCATGGTGTTAGATCCTGTAATTTTATTGGTTCTCGAATTTGATTACTTAATCAAGAAGTTGCTTTATGTGTGTATGTTTAAATTATGTAAATCACATAAAAAAATGTGCTATAGGGTAAATTATGCGAATATTATGTCAAATCATAATCCTGGACACTCTAATGTTGATCAACTGATATATTCTTGTAAAATAATAATTACATTTACCAGATAAAACAGAAATATGTTGAGTGAATAACGGATACAATATTCTATCTGATCTTGGATAGCGAATATCTTGAGGTCAAATTACTAGATCGCGGCGAAACTCAAAAGACTTTCACGTGAAACTGCATGGTTACATACGTACGTATATTTATCATGTTTATTAATTTTTATTTTTACTCTTAGGCGTATTATCTGGTATTTTTATCCAGCTATGTATATAATCTATTTCAAGATTATTTAGAATACTTTCTTTTGACATTTCTTCTTTGATATTTTGTTGTTCAATCAGTAATTTCTATAACAGATGTTAAATAGTTTAATCGTAAAGTATTTTAATCGCATTCTCGCGAAACAACGCCCAGAGGTATGGTTTCAAAATATGGCCATTATTCAAAATAAAATACATACTTCGAGAATTGCACCAAACTTTGCAATATTCACTAATTGCCAGCGTTCTGAATAAGAGATCGGAATTTTACAACTAAATATTTCGTAAATTCTGTACGTTCTAATCCGAATAATGTCTGTAAGATATACAGATAAGAAATATTCTAAAAAAAAAAAAAAATAAGAACAGTATTACATTATTTATACAAAAAAAAATAGAAAAAAACCTACTGTAACCATGGATCCCTATAGACTTAAATTTTTTAGCCGTATTAGTTGTACAATTTCTATTTTGATTAAAATGAAAGTTCAAGTCATCGACTCCATTGTGCGCTAGCTTAGCAAATCTTCTAATTGGTGTTTTAGAGTGAATTCCGTGGGACCAAACGATTGTTCATACAAAACAGCAGCAATTTCATCCTGGTATAAGACGGCGTCATTTTTGCTTGCACATCTGTAATTTGACGGCTTTTGACTATAGTTAATGTTATATGCTCTATCGTTATGAGCTTCATTCATGATCTCACCACTATACCAAAAACATTATTAATATCAATCTGTCATAAAAAGAACAAAAGAAAAGAATACTTACAATGCGATACCTGATATAGTTTTCCCGAAAAAAGTTGAAAATAAATCCAATATGCGATAAACCGTCTGTGTTGACCAAGTTTTTTCACTACCATCAACTTGTAAGCCACCATGATAATAGTATAGAAGAAAGTGACGACAAACTTCTCTAACCCATAATAATAATTGACTTTCATCATTAGGAGGTTTTTCTATCTTAGACAATGCACTTTTAATATCACCACTAAGTAGATCTTGGAGATATTCTATTATATTTGTAGAAAGGTCCAATTCAACGGTTGTATTACTATCTATTTCATTAAATAATTCTTCTGCTTCTTCCTTGCAAAGTTCTCTGAACGGTTTACAAAGTGGATAAATGTGTCTACTTAATAGTTCACGAAAGATCTTTTTTTCAATGCTAATTTTTTCCTTATCAGTCTCAACCTGTATAATATATATGTTTGAATTAATTAAATTGGATTGACTATGTTATGAATTTTCTAAATATTTGCCTTTCCGTTTTTTTTAAGGTCCTGTCAATACGTTAGTAGTAAAAAAAAAAAAACAGAAAACAATTCGTCATTTTTAGTAATTAAAAAAAAATAGATAACTAACTTTAATAGGTAATAGTTTCTTTCTATCTGGCGAATCATCCTCGATATTGTTAAGCGTATTTCCCTAGATCGTTAAGTAAGAAGATTTTTTGTTAATCTCGCGAATCGTCAATATCAAAAATGACAACTGTTAATTTTATGACCACCATTTCTTTGTCAAGATGGAGCTTCTTTCCATTATTTTGCAACGAATCGGTTTTTTTCCTTTTCGGAACTTTTATTACTTATGTTTAGAGAAAATCAACAGAATACAGATATACAAAGTAATATAAAAAGTAAAATATAATTACATGAAGATATTTGATCTCGCGTTTCTGTATAAATAGTATTGCTTATGTCATCATGGAGCTCTGAAACCCGAGACACCATCCTTGTAGAAGTTAAATTTATCGCCTTTGTCAGTGAAATCATAAATGTAGGACAATTTTCCCAGAAATTTTTAACTTCAATCGATTTAACTTCTTCCTGTATAAATAATAATAAAATAAAATATAAAAAGATGCCTGATACTGTTTAGACGCATCCAAACGCGTATCAATAAAGTGCAACCCGCAAGACGCATCCATTGGGCTTTCAGACGCATCCTAGCACTTCTGGCAAAATTAATTATAAAGAAAAATCACAAAGGGCTATTGTCTCACAGGTGCAACCCGCAAGACTCATCCGTTGGACTTTCAGACGCATCCTAGCACTTTGATTGACACACCCTTCATGATAGCACATAATGAAAATACTGAAATAAAGTTTCTTGACCTTAAAATTTTCTAACGCTTCTGTTGCTAATTTTCTAACCGTAAAACTGTCGCGAAATAACAATATTTCTGGTTTATTCTTAATGTTATCCAGATTTATTTTATAAGTAAGGTGTTCTTCATCTTTACTTCCAAAATCTTTTTTGAAATTGACTGCACCCCATTCTAGAAAGTCTAGTAAATTCCAAGTAGATTTCTCTGCAAAATAATCAAGCCTCGACATTTCAGTGGTGAAAGCAATGTAACTGGACACTGTAGTTTCCTGGATCTAAAACATCTTAAATACGCGTTTTGTCAATCCTGCAATCATACATACGGATTCACATGATTAGTGACTTGAATCGGTTGAGCTATAATCGGTTAACCGACCCGAACCAAATAAATTTCGGGTAACCGGTTGAGAAATGTCAAAATGACGTAGGGATCAGAAACGTTCAGACAAAAAATTAGAGTAAAGCTCCGAGAATTTCAGAAGGTATAGATATAAATCTTAACCGGTTGGTAATCGGTTGAATGAGATAATTCGGTTCGGTTAACCGATTAAGAAAATTTTTCTCGGTTCAAATCACTAGTTCAAATCACTAATTTGAAATAGATTATTCAAGTTCGTAAATATTTACTATCAAGTAATGCTTCTCATTATTAGCTGAAACCGGCGGCATTCGCAATCTTTAGTTATTATTATAAAATTTATGAGAAAAATTTTAAGCTTATAGATTTTAGATAGTCAATCAGTACTGGGGTAGAAAATAGATTGGTTAAAATTGAAATGAACTAAAATAAATAAAAAATAAATAATGTATTTTATTGCTATATTAAACATTATGAAACATTATGGTAATTTTGTTCCCAATTAAATAAATTATTTGGATCATATTTCTTTTTAGTTTCAATCAATTTAGTAAAGAGGACCATAATATCTAGTTGCCCAATCTTGCAAGCCTCTATCGATATAACCTTGATAACTAAAATAAGAAGTTGAAATTCTTGTCTAAATTGCAAATGTTTCTCCAGGCAATTTGAATTTTTTTACTGTAACCTTTTAACTGCGTTTCTAATTGTATGACGTAAAGAACATTTCTGTGAATAAAGGAAGAACTATTTACTAGAAATCTACTTATAGCATTACATGCATATACATTAAAAAACTACTGATTTGCATTCAATATTATTAAGAAAATTTACTAAAAATCTGAAGCCTTCTCGAGAAAGACCTGGTTTTGAGATAATATAAGATGACGATTTGAAAGGTTGACGAGGAACTGCTGGGTACATGGCAAACCAAGACATTTCTTTGAAATTAATATAAGCGGGATTTGATAAGTTGATTAGTTCTTTGACAGAAATTCGGGCCTCTTCTTCTGGTCCCAAGTATATAGCGCTAAATAAAAAAGTATAAGTATTATTACTTTCTGGTCGTAATTTTAATACAGGTGTCATATTTTCACTAAGATTTTTAACCACTTTGTTAAATGATATAAATGCTAATTCGGCTTGTTCTGAAAAGTAAGAGATATTAATTGAGGTAACTATTGGCTGAATAGGATGAATCAAGAAGGTAAGAGAGGTTATTATGCCATAGCCAGCATTGTCAGCACCTCGAAGTGCAAAAAATATATCAGAATGATGTGTGAAGTTTATAGGGGATATGAAAGTTCCATTTGCTATAACCATTTCAGCGCTAATAATATTGTCGGATGACATTCCATATTTTCTTGTAACGAGCCCTAATAAATTCAATCAATATATTGCTAAACTAAACCAAAATCGATATAAGATTATTCTATAAATCATAAAATACTTACACCACCAGTAGCATGGCCACCAATGCCAACATTAATACAAAACCCTGCTAGAATTAAGAACCCAGCTTGATATAATTTATAATAAATGGTATTTAATATATTTCCAGTTCCAATGACAGCAGTTTTCATTTCAGAATTAATAGTAATTTGATTAAACTCCTTGACATCAAAAGAGTGACCACCAGATCTAGCGGTAACCGAAATGTTTAAAGTATTTGCACAATGAATTGATATCTGAATATCTAAAATTGTAGTAACATAAATTATCACTACAGGAAAATAGGAATTTCGACAATTTGCAACTTTAATGCAATAATAATTAATAATAATCAGAATCATCCGGATAAACGGCTAATTCATTGATAGTAGAAAGGCATTGTTTGAGGGGAGGTACTAATACTAAGATTTCAAATGGATACTGAACTTGTTTACAACTTTCATCTTCGCCGAAACTAGGCGGTGTTGCTTGTACTATTAATAAAAACAGGAAATAAAAGAGAACAACTTTACGTAGTAGTGACATTTTCGTTCTTTTTCAAACTTAAGTGATTTAGTATTGTCTGAATACAAAATGTTTTTATATTGTATCTCTAAAATTCATCAACGTGGTAACTTGTATTGACTTGTCATAATTTGTAGTTAAAAACTTTGGCTTTTTTTTTTTGCAAATGTAAATATTTAAGCATTCGAACTGTACAAAACAATCAGCCACATACTTTACCGATAAATAATTTTCATTTTGTTATTCAATTTCATTTTTTTTTGATATTATTTGTTGATTATGCGAATGCCATGTGCTTTTAACATACATAAATGTTGAATAATTAATACATAAATTAATAAATACATATATTACAACTTTAACTATTAATAATATAAAGCTGATCTTGGCCGGGGTCGTCGTCGCAGTGAACTAGTAATAATCGTTTGTTATGGCTACGATCATACGATTTTCTTCATCGTAACTATAAAAAGAAATAGAAAAATTTGTTCACCCGATTAGAGCATTCAGAAGAATATATGGTGAAGCATTCGGAGGAACATACTATGGAGTACTCGGAAAAACATACAGTGGGAAAACGTTCAGACTCGGGAGAACGTTCAGACTCAGGAGAACGTTCAAACTCGGGAGAACGTTCAGATTCAGGAGAACGTTCAGACTCGGGGAACACGATTATTACGTTGACTTGGAAAAGAAAGACGAATTCTTATATAAGAAAAAAAAACCCCGAATTAGACGGGTTACAGTAAAATTCTATATATAACTAGCAAACGAACATAAACTAAAACCCACTGAGGGATTGTCGCACCACAGCACCGGTTTCTAATATTTAAACTGGTGAGTGGGTGCTGGTGGTGGTGCTGCTTTCTGGGTGGGTGCTGGTAGTGCTGCTTTCTAGGCCATTTAAATGTCTAATTATAGCATCGCAATTGATTATTGCTACTTTACATAAATCTTTGAGATTGTCTCCATTATAGCCATGTAACTTGGGTGCTGGTGCTTATTGCCGGATGGGTGCTGGTACCCTTTTCTTCTTGGTGGCGCAATTACTAAAAGGACAACCTTCGCTCTCAACGGTTTGAGGGTGCAAACATCTTGAAGGCTCAAGGATTTTAAACTCGAAGCATTTTAAAGAAACATTTTTTTACGGATTTATTTGTTTATTTATACTTCTCTGCTATGATCATCATAACAATACTAATTTAGACAAACGCGTAAATTATACGTACTAGTGTACGTTTATAATTCTATCAATTGTGGAACTATATTGACTCAGTAAATACAGAAATAAGCCAAAACTTTTATTGTTGGACTTCATAAACTATCAGTTTATGTTAAAAAAAATCTTTAATTTTTTATTCATTCAGACTAGTTTTAATAAACTACTGTAACTTATCAAATTTGGTTTATACAGTGAACTGCCAGTTTAGAACTGAAATAGCTTGTTTTTAACGATTTAACATCTAACACCTTTGGTCTTAGTTAACGAGTATTAGTTCACGAGTAAGTTATAAATTCATCTATATTATGAGGCCATGCAAAATTAATTACATCATAATCCTGCTCATTACCTGAAATCTTTTTAGTCGTTCGGTAAATTACCTAACTCTCCGGAAATTACTTCACTGTCTCCGGACTGAAGGTCTGAAGACAGCGATGTAGTTTCCGGAGAGTTAGGTAATTTACTGAACGACCAAAAAGATTTTTTTTTTTATGTTTTACTGCTGTTTGGGATAGGTTTTTGATTCGGCAGTGATTTGTGATTAGTAATATAGCGATAATGATCTATATTTTTTGCGAATGTATTCTGAACGGCACTACAATGTCAACACATCCAAAATTAAGGTTTTGATTCTATTATTCTTGTGCGCAGATTGAACTGATTTTGGTGGCGATACTAGGCGCGTTACTATGAACCATTTTACGTTCTATTAAAAAAAAAAAAAAAAATCAAAATTTAGACCTTTATTCTAACCCTAATGCTAAACTAGTTCGAATTTTTTAAAGCCTTATGAAATTTGTAAAACATATACGGTGACAACATGATATATTAATTGGGTGGTGGGTACAAAGGTATAGACAAATTCTGTGTAAAAACCAGATAAACCAGATCATTATCATTCGTTTATCTGGATATAACATTTAAAGAAGAAAACTTTTTGAAAATAGCACAATATGATATTACGTTGATTTAATCCATTCTCCATCCTCAGTTCTATGCAAAAAACGCCCCACTACACAAGAATTTTTCCCTTCAAACGCAATTCCTAATTCCAGAAGTCTTTTGATTTCATCTTGTAGACCTGTTCGATACTGCTTCTCTTCAATTTGACATAATCCTTCGTGAGCCGCATCGTTTAAACTTTGGTTATTATAAACAACTTTAAACTCAATAATGATAGCCATCTCACCAACACCTGATTTTGGAACTATTTTTACATCATATCTCCCCGTACTAGCCTCATGATTAGAATGAACGATATAGCCTCGATCACGAGCAACAACAAACATTCCCAAGCAAAAGGCATGATAAACATTTTCTGCATGTTTTCCAGATTGGGCTCCCCCAACATCATAAAACGAAAATGTATCAAAAATCATAAATCCAAATTCGTTACTAAATAATTCCAAATTTCCAACCAGAAGATTATCTAACATTGATGTAGCGGTTTGCCCTTGAGTAAAAAACGGTACATTGATCACCCATTTATGCCATTCTGAACGAATCTCAATATTTGGAATAATAAGATGCTTCTCAGAATTCATAGTGAGATATCCTGCATAGTACAAAAGCGTCCAAATAGCTGAATCTTGATTTTGGCCCAAAGATAAATATTGAAGATCATCTTGAATCCCAATACCAGCTATATATTCCTCCTTTAACAACTTCTCAACTGTTTCCTTAAATGAAGTGCTTGCATTCCATATGCATTTTTTTAACGTTTGAGTGCTTCCTGTATCAGCCCAATAAGTTTCTAATGTACCTCGTGAAAGCAAACAAATAATAGACCACGGGTTATATAAATGTATATTGTCTCCTGAAATGTAACCATCATACCATTTCTGAACATCATTAGACTGTAAGTCTTTACACATTGGCAATAATAATTCTACTTCATCGGACGTGAATCCAAACTTATCTACATAAGAGGAAATCGACTTTCTTGATGCAAAGGGTAAACCATAATATTATTTAGTCCTGACAAGAAACCTGATTTTGTGATCCGCAATACTCCAACCAACATCGCTTTCGCAACATTTTCATCATTGCCCTAATAAACAATAAGTGATGACTTATTTGATCAGATTATAAAAAATAATCACGATAGTAATAGAAGAGTATGAATCTACAGGACCCCGGACAATACTAATAGAGGTGGGATTATTAAACCGGACAAGAAATTTTAAATTATTGTCAGAGGTTTATTATTAAAAAGGCTTTTTAAGTGAATCGGGTATTCTTAAACCGGCATTAGTAAAAAGAAGGCATGTGCCATGATTTTTTTAAATAAATATCTATTATAAAAGAATACATACCGTATAGATCCGAAATAACGCACAGGGGCGTTATTTCGAATCTCGGCCCGAATTAAGCTTAATTTAGGCCGAAAATTGAAATTACACCCCTGCGCGTTATTTCGGGTCTATACGGTAGATCATAATTTTACGAAATTCCAAAAAGTTCTGAAGTAGAAAATGAATGATCGCAAAATACGATCAAGTTGGGCAAATTTTTTGCAAAAATTCCGAAACGTTCCGAAAGAAAATCATATCGATATGCTATATAATTTAATGGGGCTCATAAATCAGAATTTAGAAGGTAAAAGGCTTAAAATAGACAAAATTTGGAGTCTTAAAGCGAACAAAATGGCCAAAAATTTACTATTAACTCAACTCCCACCTCAGTTGATATTATCCGGGGTCCTGAATCTACCCTACCTTTAATAATGATGAGAATATGACTTTAAAAAAGTCATTTGCAATTTCATAATATCTTTTACTATAGGCGCATTCCATCGGGGAATCATACTCATCAACGAGAACAATACATTTTTTTTTATAATGCTGTCGCAGATATATGGAAAGTTCTTGCAAAGCAATTTTCAATTCAGATACAGGATAGGTTAGGTAACTGTCAAGAATTCGTTGATATCTCCTTTGTTGATAGGGTGATAAACTGTTGAAAATATAGTTGTATTTATCATAAATTCCACCTATCATTACTCTTAATAACGTCAGCATCTCATCCCATGTTTCAGAAGTTAAATCCTAGTTTGTGATGGGCCACGTAAGATTAAATATTATCATAACAAATGAAAATTAACATCAGTATACCTTAAGTGAAATATGAATGACGGGATACTGCGCGAAATGTTTTTGCATAATTTCTTTTTCAGCTGAAATTTTCAGCTTTTCAAAAAGTTGTCTGCAGCTAACTTTTTCATTAGGGGAACGTGGTATTTTAAAGAAGCGATTTAGCATGGATAGATTTGTTGATTTGCCGAATCGGCGAGGACGAAGGATAAGTGATATAAAATTCGGACCCTCAATAAATTCTTTTATAAGCATTGATTTATCGACAAAAGTGAGACGATCGCTTATAATGGATTCAAAGTTATCTTTTCCAACAGCAACAGTTGCACCAAAAACAACACTGGCATTATTGACTATATAAGAAATAAAGTTAATTTGTAAAATGCAAGACTAAAAATACCAGAATGCAAGAAATTAATATTCACAAGTCTTAGTATACGGTTCAAAATCAGAACCTAACATGATCTCCTGACTTTCTTAAAAAAGAATTTATATGGACAATCTGTCTGACTTTGAATTTGGAAAGCTGAGTAACATTCAGGGACACGGAAAATATTAAATCACAATCACTCAACAAATTGTGAATTAGTATTTAAAGTCAGTGTCTGAAATTGGGTTGCGGAGTCTGCGGACCGCAACAAAATTTTAAATTCCCGCATATAAATTTGTAAATTTTACCTATAAATTTCGATCAAATGTTCATGTGCGCAACTAAATTTTATAATCCGCAAGTTGTTCTTTTTAATTGGTTGCAGCCCGCAACTAATTTAAAAATTGAATTTCAGACACTGTTTAAAGTCCGCCAATCATAAAAATACTAATTGACCTCATGTTGGTCATGTTGGTAGTGATCGTACCCTAAGGTTTCATTGGCAAACATTCGTATGATCGGCTGTTTAAATCATTATTTATACAGTTTAAAGTACTTTTTAAAAAAAAGAAAATAAACAAAAAAGAAGTATAAAGAAAGTTTTATTAGGGTTGTAGGACTCCACTATTAAAAATAATCAAAATTCTTTTTTGTTTTAGAGAAGTTAGCAT